TTATGTTTTCCAAGACAGTCTCTTACCACCCTTGGCTCTTTAAAATGGCGTGAACTCAAACCCCAAAACCCCCCCGGCGGGGGGGGTGAGTCGGGGAGTTGAAGTCCACACATCTTAAAGTTGCCAAGTTTGGAAAGCACTGATCTAGATCAAATCAAATCTTTATTATGGCCAAAGAACAGCATAACTGTTCTAGATCATTTGCTCTGTTCCTCTGCAGTATCAAGCCCGGAGAAAACAGAGGGCAGGAGAAACCTAGAAATACCTCGCTTTTCAGAAACGTCCATCAAGGATAGGCTTGCTAAGTATCAAGCAGCTGTGTCCAAGCAGGGTGGCTCTTGCAGTCATGCGGTAAGTTTTACTTCTTAGAGATGGGTGGCTGTTGCTGTTCTGCAGCAGAGGATTCCATCTGAGATGCTACTGATGGCTTTGCCTTGAATGTTCAACGTTCTTGAGGGTCATGAATTTCCTCCTTTTAAAGTCTTGTTTCCTATTAAAGCCACTGGAACCTTTTTCAGGCTCTTTTTTTATGTGTGTGGAATGTTTCTCTGTCGTTTTGCGAGTAACCAGTGTTTTGCCTCTGCAGTGGCATAGAAGATAAGCTTTGCTTACCTGTTTGTGAATCAGGCGGCTTTTTAAAAATGTTATCATCGTGAGAGAAAACAAAGTTGCAGACAAGATTAAGTGACTAGCCACAGATCTTGCCATCTCTGATTTGTTGCTTTGATCCCCAAGTAATTAGCTTCATTTTTCCTCTTGTAACCTCAACCTTGTAATGTTGATTCGTACTGCATTTCTGTGGCTAATCTGAACTGCTAGATAAAATTTAATTGGGATACGAGGAAGAGGTGTTGTTAGGCAGGGACCAGGAAATTGCACCCCTCCAAATGCTACCAGCTCAGCCACCCTGGACAATATTGAGTTATGAGGAATTGAAATCCAATACAGGTAGTCCTCAACTTATGACCACAATTGCGACTGGAACTTCCATCAGTAAGCAATGTGGTCATTAAGTGAGTTGTACCCGATTTTACGACTTTTTGCTGCAGTCATTAAGCAAATCACACGGTTGTTAAGCAAATCTGGCTTCCCCCATTGACTTTGCTTGTCAGAACCCCCCGGGAAGGTCACAAAAGTTGATCACGTGACCCTGGGATGCTGCAAGCATTGTAAATACATGCCAGTTGCCAAGCGTCCGAATTTTGATCACATGACTCTGGGGATGCTGCAACAGTTGAAAGTGCAAAGACTGGTCGTAAGTCACTTTTTTCAGTGCCATCATAAGTTTGGTCATTAAATGAATGGTCGTAAATCAAGGACTACCTGTAACTCCTGAAATTTTACAGACTGCTATGCTTACACCAGAATACTTAGTTTTGCAATGAAACAAATATCAGAGATTCCACGTTCTGCACTGAAAGGGGTGAAAATTACAGCTAGTCTTCAACTTATGACCAGTCAGTTAACAACCATTTGAAGTAGCTATGGAGTCCTTGGTGCTCTCTGAGCTTGGTTGTTTGCTTGCAGATGTTTCATTACCCAACTAGGTAACATCAGTATGATCATGGATGCTCACCTCAGACTAAACAAATACCAGCACACCATAGATAACCTCAAGGAGCAACTAGAACATACCAAATTCTACTTTT